TGTAATTTATTTTTTTAAAGAAATAGCATGACCTATGTTGTAAGTACCATCCTTTGCACTGTTGTAATCTGACCACAAACTTAGTCATGACATTCAGCTTATTCAAGATGCTAGTACTTACTCTACTCATCTCTTGTTTGTATATACAGGTAGTAATTAACCTCAGAGCCAAAATTAGAGACCACAGCTTAAGATCAGGTTCTAGGTTGATAGTAGGAGACTTGAACAAAACATCTGACAGCAGGATGTTCCATCATACGTACCCCACAACATAAGGAGACTGGGGAGGGCTATTTGAAAGAAAACAAAGATCAAACTTTCCCCCATCTCCTCCCACGCAGCCACTGGTACGCTCAGCTTTCTCCTTGTTCTGGAGGCAGAAATCTTAAGTCCTTAATTAAGTAGACTTTCAGCTGAGTATGCAGCAATTAATTTCTACTCAAAATTTTATTATAGTAAATAGTTATAACATTAATGACAATGCATTTTATTGAATTTAATGATTCCACTATAGAAGCTATCTGTGCTAGACATACATAATTGTCTAAATTATCTACATACTATTGACAAACTGTTTAATATTGGAAGTGAACATAAAAATGTTCAAATCACAATCGGTGGACTTTGTTCAGAGTTACTACTGTTCATTTCATACTTTAATTTTGGAGACTCCTGTATCAGGAAGTTATATAAATAGTTTGTATTGTCATGGTCCCATAAAAGCTAGATAAAATTAGACTAAGATCACTGCAAGCTTTGGTTTAAGATCTTGAATAATTTTAATTTATTTCTAGTTTACTCCTTTTTCATTCACATTATTGATAGCACAAGCAATGAGAATGATTTTTTGTTTTTCTTTTCCTACTTGGTCAGACTTAACAAGCATCAACTGTTTCAAACAAAAATACAGTCAATGTACCATTTCTCAGCAGTAAAGCAGTTACCAGTTATCACCCAACAGGCATTACTTTCAGTTCACATAAACCTCCTATTTCTACATTTATCTGCCCTCAAGCAGCATGAAGCATCTAAACTGAAGTGACCTTAACTTATCCAAACATAATTTTCTTTCAGATAAAATAAAAATCCTTATGCAAGAGACTCCAGAACTTACATGTGTGAACCAGAAGAGTGCACCACTGGGTCAGGCAAAACATAGACTGAACATGAAATTTTAATCTTTCATTAAAAATTGGAATGCAACATCTATATTTAAACAACTTTATTAACATAGTCAAGCAGTGATTAACATTCACATCTATTATGTCACATCATACAAATGTAAATACAAAATTACTACAGTACAATATATATTCTCTGCATGATCCAAAATATTTGGTGGCCCCAAAAACTCTTTAAAATTCAGCAGCTTATCAAAAATTAAAACCATATTCTATTTAAAATGAAGTTCTGTTAGCACATAGGCAGACTTCAAGAAATATCACTCGATTTAGTACAGTTTGAGAGGTTGCAGGAGGATATGTTTGAAGGAAACATTCCAACATTGTGGCAGATACAGAAACATCAGATTTAAAGCTTTCAAGCAAAACTCATACAACCTAAGTTGTCAGCAGAAAGATCCAGTCATCTTTCATTTTAAACTATTTTGTATACTGCATCCAATTCAAAATTTTAGAAGTGTCTAGTATTACTAAGTCAGACAATCTACAACATAACTACCTATCTCTTCTCATGAAAAAAAGTAATATTACACTAGAGATTTCAACAGCCAAATGAACCTGCTTATATCTTTTTTCTGATCGCTGTCCTCACAAAAAGCACCCAGGCCTTCTTAATTTTGTTGCCCACCCAAAATAAGGAAATAGATACCTAAGGCAAAAGTAGCACAATAAAACAAACTTATAGAAAAATGATACTATACTGTAAGCGCTGAATTCTCTGAGATGTGGATTTGGCTTACTTAAAGTATACGGTAAAAACAGAAAGGGATTAATCTCACAGAGCCATTTTTAACTTCCCTCATGTAACTACATTAGAGTGCGTAAGCATCCTTATTAATTTAGCGGAATATACTCTACAAGGCAAGCAAGAAGAGTGCTCGCCCCCATTTCCCATTTAAAATAATCTAAAACTGGCTTGCTCCAACCATTAAGTGCAAAGAGCAAGCATCAGTGGCAGCCAAAAACCAGTTTTTATTGGAGAAGAATACCTAGAAGACTGATGGATGCAAGTGATTCTGCAAAATGCATAGGTGAGTGAAATACTCAGCTACTGATCAAGCTTTATTCTATATGAGGTTACTGGAAATACTTATGTAATATATAACAAATAGGTATGCAAACTACATCAGCGTTTATCTGAGATAACTACAGGATGTTTTCCCATTTCACTAAAGAGCTTAAACTTTATCTAAGATAAAAAGTTACTCTTTAGACCCTACATATAGAATCTTTATGCATCTACCATCCTCATGAAAGAGATAGTATTGAAGCAATTAGTGTTAAGTTGCAACTTCTTTCCTTGACAAAATCTGAAAAAAATTATTTCCTATAAGATGTTGCATTTAAAGCATTTTTAAAGAAATATCTCAATTGTTTGAATATGGATGCATTCTCCTCAAGGGAAGAATGTTTTTGCACCTTATCTGTTAATACATTCAATATGAATAAAATAGGTGAAGCAGAAATCATTATTATCCTTAGTAGAAGGTTTAACACAGAGGAGCTGCCTAAAGGAAATGCATAAACTGATATAATGAAGACACATTTTTATTACCATGTGTTCTGAACAAAAAGGGTACAAGAGTATTCACCTGAGATAAAGCTAGATTTGAATATTTCTAGTAGCAATGAGTTTCGCTTGAGGAAAGCCACTTGAAGTTTTAAAATATACACTTTACTATTATACAATATATGCAGTTTAAGTAATTAAGATTGATGCTAACATATAAGTCCTAACAAAAAAAAAAAAAAAAATCACAGTGTGTATCAATATTGTTAGTTACAAAATTTATGCTACTTCATAACTTTTAAAAATTATCATGATTATAAATTTTAAACCCATTCTTCTAAAAGTGGTCTTTTGAGTACAAGCTTTAAGGAGCAATAAACTAAAGCATAAGAATTAGGTTATTACAATTTAAATATATACATATTCACTGATTTAGAAAATAATCAAGCTTTGGAAAAAAATTTACAAAATTGATTATTTTTTCTTTCACTGGTTAAAATACTGAACTATTCTTATATTTTTCTCTAAATGAAACAAGCTGTTTTCTGAATGTGTAATGAAAAAAATTTAGCATTGAACTTCACCTAAGACTAATTTAACACCAATTTAGAACTGCCAAAAAGATGCATTTATAAGGATTTTAAATATACTTTCTGTTACCAACTTAGGTTGATCAGCAGCTTTTGTTCACTCTCAGAATCCTTCAAAAAGGGAAACTCAAAACAGGAAAAAGGCATATATAAAAACAGTAAACACTGACCTCCTGAGGTTCCTACAACAAAAATATTCAAGTAGAAAATCTACACCATTACTTAGCAGCGGCTATTTCTGTAGTTTAGCACACTAACAGCACTTTATTCAGTGTGTAAGGAGCAAATGAAGTAAGCCGTGCTTTTAGCATGCCAAGAGGCAGAAACACTGGAATGTAACAAAGACAAACTCACAATTCTACCAGTATAAACATTCACTCAACATTCAAGAACTGTCAAGACTACACCACAAGAATTAAGATGCTTTTTATATATCCCATGATGCAATAACTGAATTATAAATGTTAATGCTGATTCAGAACTTTTCTTACCTCACATTATCCCCCAAATGGCTTCTGCAAATCTCTGCGCTATATTATGCATTAGGAATATGGTTTATTTGCCTTAAAATATACCATGAAAGAACTTACTGATACAGAAACTTATTTTGTCAGTACTGTTTGTTTCTGCCTTATTTTAATTATTTTCCTTCCTGTTATACCAGATCAGTTCACATCTGTGCAAATACCTATTAAAATATGTATGTACAAAAGTGGCATCCTAAGCTAATCTGAGGTGAGGTGGAGTGGTTTTATTTGGTTAAAGGGACTTTCTGAAATTTAAGAAGTTTAGTTTAGTTAGAACTCAGATTCTAGCTGTTATGCTACAGTATTATTTGGGTAGGTTTTCCTATACTACACTTTTTAAATGTCATTTCTCTGAAACCCTTCCCTAACGTTCAGACACACTCAAAATTAAAGCAAGTTTGGGCCTAAATAATATCCCACCTTGCTAAATTTTAAAGGTTTGGGCTATTTTTCCTTCCAGAATTTGGTTTTAAAGTGTTTTTACTGACTATTATTAATTTATTTCAGAGCTATTAGTTAAGAAGGAATTTTGTATTTGCTACCAAAGCAATGTAATTTGAAAGCAAGTTATCACATGCAATTTTGACCAAATTGAATAAATACTATGTACTTCATACAGTACATGGCCAAACTATTCTTCAGGCATAATCCATTAAAATTTGAAAAGCCAAAAAAAGAGGGAGAGGGGGGAGCATGTAAAACACGCATGCTATCATGCATTAAAAAAAAAAAGGAATCAAAACTCTTTAAACAGCATTTATAAGTTCACACTCACACAGCTCAAATTTCAGTGCAATGGCTAAATCATTCAACAGTCAAGGAACAGAACCATGCAAAGAAGAGCAAGTTCTTAGAAAAAACCCAGCCAAACAAACAAACAAACAAAAACCCCAAACTCTTATCCAGTATCCATTTTGCAATGCAAAGGTGAGAAACTAAATCTAGAAAAAGGCTGTTATGGCTTAATTTTGTTTTGCAGATTAATTACGCAGCACTTGAAAAATGGAAAGGTGTGGCTTCACCTCTGACCAGCAGAGTTAAAAATCTCTCCATTTTCCTTTATCATCATGGGATACTCTTTAGGCAACCTAAATTATTAAAGACTTGCCACTTTCAGATGGACACAAGATCAAGTGTACCAGTTAGGAATTCACATTCACAGTACATAAGAAAATACACATGGAAGGAAAAGTAAAGGGTTAACTTAACAAGGATTTATTCACAGGAGTACATGTAAGTAGAGAAAAAAACACAACAGAAAAGCTAAACAAATGAAATGAAGAGGATCCAAACCAGCTTTCACTCTGTAGCTTTAAACTTGCACCCTTGTGCATTTAACTACATCACAAAGGGCCACCAACATGCGCCGATACAGTGTAGATACCCTGCATTACACCCATTAACTTAAACATCTCTTTTAAGATCATGCTTTGAACAAAAAGAAAGCGCAGAAGGTAATATGTTGAGTGGGAATAAACACAAATATAGCAATCATGTCTTCAACTTCTACAATTGTCTTTACGTGCCATCTAACATTTATGCAGCCTTTAATGGGTCTTACCATGTAACTCATTTTTAGAGATTCTGAGAAAATCACTAGTATATAACCATGCAGAAAGCACATCACACTGACAGCACAGAGGCAAATATTTTGCACAGCTATATCAGCTTTCCACATTGTGCAGGTTACACACATTACAATATCAATCTTATTCTTAACAGATCCTAAAAAGGTATTTCAAGGCCTAATTGTTAACTACAGTACTTTATATCTATTTTCTTAATAAAAATAAAATCCACAGAGTCTTAAAAAAGGAATTTTAATTTTAAATGCAGGGCTATATTGAATTGGTAAACGGCAACACAAAACTGGCGCAACATAGGTAAATGTATACCAATTTCACTCTATGTGATGCAAGCATGCTACTTTCCCACTAATTTAAATTACTTCTGATCACTATGAGCCAGAACACATGCCTGAACCTTAAACTGCACGTTAAGAATAATGCCTTACTCTAGAAATTAAATCTAATGAAGTACAATAATAAACTCATATCCACTACTGTAATTCTTTCTTTTAATGTAAAAATTAAGATGTCAATCTTTCCTTTGAAGTGTCCCTCCCCTTACCCCAAAAATGAAAGGAGTGACTCATTTGGCATCTTGCGGGTTGCTTCATTATGTCCAAGTTAACCTTTATTAAATTACAATGGGCTTTCTCTATGGTACACTGCAAGTGCCTGCTCTTAATGCAGACACAAGCAGTATTTTAACTGTACTAACTTCATTTGTGTAGTTCTTCATTAACATGCAAATACCTAGGAATCCCATCAAGCAGGATGAAATAATGTATAAAACCCTTACTTAAAAAACCATACAGATAAAAGAAAGCCTTTTACTGTTTGTGACCCCCATTCTTAGGTTTCCTTTATTGTGCGCAAAATAGTTTTCCTCTTTACGTATCCCTATGGTTCAATTATATGGTTTCTATTTTGGTACAATTCCCCACAATATTCCAGAATGTGCTGTTTTGTGACTAGATTCTTTTTTCTTTTTTTTTTTTTCTTCTTCACATCCAGTGCAGAGTTGTAATAGGAGACAGATTTCCACCCACAAAGGCTCCAGATGTTAAAACATTTCCCAACATCGACTTAATACAGTGACGGCAACACCTCCCTCCCGCCCCTCCCAGTAGGGTTGGGATTGTACTGTATTCCCTACTGGTTTACCCTTCCCCCCAGTAAAGGGTAACATTTTCCCTGGGTGCAGAGGCTCCCTCATAGTCTCCCAGACTGAAGGACCTGTAAAATGAAAAGACAGAAGTAGAATTAAATCTTACCTTGAACCTTAACTGACAGGTCTGTGCATAAACAAAGAGCTGTTTTGCTGTTTTTAAGCAGTAGGTGACAACTTTTAACTTAAAAATGTATTTATGCCTAGATTTCCCCTTTTAAGTCTGTTTAAGGAAAGAGGCCATTTACATCAGGTAAACTCTTATTTATGGAAAAACAATGTATGCTTTAAAACTACACTGACAGTTCCACTATTGTGGCTAAGCTTAGATTTAAGATAAAAGCAGTCCTATATATTCTAACAAGCCTTTCCATTTTTAGTACAAAATTATGAGGTAGGTATGACATTGAGAAAGAATACTAAATGTATCTGCTACAGATCTAGCACCTTCACTTTTAGGTGGATTAAACAAGATAGCCGTAGTATCTCCTCAGTTCAAACTGAGAATAGCAGCAAATTCTACCACTTTTGATTCCTCTTCATTATGAAAACACCCTTATGTCAGAACTAAAATGCCCTCATTGATAAATATGTAAATGTTTGAAATTGGTTTATTTTTAATCCACTGCTGAGATCAAACAGGCAATTCAAGCAGGATTTCTTATGTCACTGACTGAAACAATCTTAGGCTGACTTTAGTTTTCCATTCAACAAGAAAACAGAATGGCATGATTCACTCCCATAATTTCAGTACAAAAATTCTACAGCAAGTATCAAATCTGCATAAAGACTGAATGAATAAACTTAATTCATCATCTTTTTTGGGTAGAATAATAATCTCTTCACAGTATCATACTACTTTACACTTCGGAATTTTGCTTTACACAGTGCGCACAGAGCAAGGTGGTATAATATTACTATTCTAGAATGCACTATCACTGTTCTTTGCTGAAGTTGAATCATTCTCCACAGAGAACTGTAACAATTCTGAATTGGTGTAGAAAATGGAACATGGCAGTAATAAACACATCAGCCTCCCCAAAACATCAAGCTCAACAGTTACACTAGAGCTACAGATTAGCATAACATCCTTTATTCAGTGGAAAGGTCTTCCAGTGTGGGGTTAGGAGTGTGTTGGACTTCTCATGGCTAAAGTGTGTTAACAAATTTGCTTTCCTATCCCAGAGGAATATTCCTGCTCAGACCACATCTGCTATCTACTAATTAGTAAAACATAAGGAAGACTCTGTTATTTAGTATGATGGGTTGAGGATCATATTCATCATTTTGCTTACTAAACTTGAACTGGCCCTTTGTTACACCTACACTTCCAACCTTATCTTGATACACTATTGTGCGTATCACACACTCACTTTTTCTTTCTTTCTCCCCCTCTTCTCTCTGTAAAAATATAATAACAGAGTCAGACAACTGCGTTTGCTACAGCTACCACCATTTAGGTATACTATCATCTCCTTGTTTTCCTTCTTATAGGAAGGGAAGATATCCAGCATATCTGAAAAATTGTAGTCTGATGAATTAACTAAAATTCATATAATGCAAACAGGGAGGAAGTCTGCTATACAGCTCTTTTTAGCAAGGAAGATTTGCGTGCTTACCTCTAATTATGGGACTGCAGCTACAGTGCATGAAGTTAAACTCCATAGTAAGCTGCAAGGCGCTCTTTTAAGGGAGGAGGAAACTGGTCAGAGAAACGCCTCCAATTCTCATCCCCAACTTGATTTTTAAATCCATGAAGAATCTACAAGTGAGTGGGGGGAAGTCAAGATAATCACTAAACAGTAGATACATTACTTACTAGCAACATATGCAGTATGCCAGTAAGCCACAAACCGCTGGATTGTACATCTGGCCATTTAAATTCTCAAATTCATTACTGAAATGCTACTGAGAAACAAAGGAAGTCTACTAATGGCTTTCTTAACTGAAATTTTTTTTCTTTTAAGGGTAACAAATAGAAAATAGCTTCCCACACAAATAAGTGTGTGCAAACATATCTATATGTATTTTTAATGAGTAAGGTAAGTTACAACCTAGAATTAGGCCAAATCAGAATGCTAAACATTTTATCAATTGCCACAGTTTATGTATGTTAAGATGTGGGAAGAAAGCTGAGCCAAAACTGCAGCCAGCATTTGACAGAATGAACGCCTGTCAAATTCTAGTAGCAATATAAAAGCATCCTGTGAGACCTCTGTTTTTTTCCATGGAACTGTGAGACAACTGTCACTAAAAAGTAAGCTGTTAAAATCTTTTGTATTTTAAAGGACCAGGGATCCACAGTCAGTGTCAGTCAAAAGCTAAAGAAAAAAAAATCTACAGGTTTCAGTCTGGACCTTCCAATGTAATAAATAAACTGAAAACTATGAAAATTAAATTATACTACCAAAAATGTCTTAGGTAAAAGGCATACATTAGAAAGAACAAAAACAGATGAAATGGCTCCTCCTCATAGTTTTGTTTTTCTTTTTTAAATTCAACGATACTGAATTGTGGTACAGTGTCATGAACACATCCTCACAGAAAAGGCAATATCAAAGTTAAAGCTCATGTTACTGAGTCACCTTCAACACAACATTCTCAAGCGGAGCTTTTCTTAAACCGGATGCAGCAATAATGACATTACCGTGTCACCAGTTAACTTACTGCTTTTTTCCCTGAAACAGACCTTCCACAAGCAGGCTCACCTCTCTTTCCTAACCCAAAAAGTGAGATTACCCAGCTGCCAAGAAACTACTGAAAATCTAAAAATGTCTAGGTATGACAAAAGGAACACTTTTAAAATAATCTTCCAGTAGAGTTTTAGCAAGTGAGCTTCAGATACCTCACTTTATAAAAAGTGATAAAATTCTTTTGCTATGTGTCAGATAGCAACGCTGGCAGCTCATCTACCTATGCAAGCTCTTGGAAGTGGTATTTTCTGTCTCAGCTCTAGTGCTATAAAACAAAACAAAATAAAAAATTAAACACTGGACAATCTATGTTTTTTCACATTGTTCCTGAATGACATATTGTTGGAAAAACATCTAACTGGACTACAGCAATCATGTATTAATGAGGAATTAATCTAAAAACTGTGCATGCTGTCATTTGAAGAAAGTTTTGTCTCCTTACTGGCATAGCAAAAAGTACAAAAGAATACACTTTATAAAAAGCAAGGATGTCCTTATCCCAAGTAACCAAGAGCCATTGTGTCCAGTTTGAATGCATTAGATCCCACATGGATAACTTGGAAAGAATCTGAAAAAGAGGAGCCTAACTTACTGAAGCAAGTATTCAGTGCTGAAGGACCAGTGCAAAAACATGCACTGAGACTGCTTTGGACAACCATCACAGACAGCATCCTGGACTTTCTTTTAAGCTTGTAAGTATTTGCTGTTTTCTTCTGCTGACACTAAAATACTCACAGCTCTGCACTTCCTAAACTTGATGTTCCTTTGAAGGAGACCAGTCATCTGAGAGGCAAACTCAGACAGTGAGATTTCGGTCTTTGCTTTTAAAGGTAGGATACAAAAGTTCTAACTTCTGTTTTGATGTTCACACATGGCGATACTTGAAGAAAAAGTGCCAATACTGACCCATGATCCTAGTAAGTACTTAGGAACATGCTCCATTTTTGCTTTAGGAGGAATATAATTGTCAAAATATATTTTGACATACATCCTTTCTAAAAACAGAGATTTCACTTTACAACTTATGAGGGGAGCCACACTACTGAATAGTAACAGCGTCCGTTCATGAATGAAATGTTTCATTTTTTCTTTTAATCTAAGACACTAGTGCCAAGACACAATATATCACATTCTGGGTGGGGTTTTACTGCTTATTTTACAGAGGACAAATAGTCCTTTTGCTTAAATTCTTTAGACACTTTGTCTAGGGATGTATTCTTGGGTATAACTGTACATTAATTTCTTGAAACTTGTTCATCCAAGAGGGATTCCGAGGAGGATTAAGGAATCCCAAAAGCTTATTTTCAGCATTTTAGAAACAGATCAGGATACCACTGGAATATTTTTCATTTGCAATTCTATAAATATTTCTCCAAAACAAAGTAGGCATCTTCTTGGCAAAAAAGTCTTGAACCACATAAATCTCATTTTCTAGAAAAAAAATCTTAAATGTGATATAAAAACCTGTTTTTCCAAATGCAGGCAAAACTTAGTAGGCTGGACTTTATGAAAAGCTCTTTGAGGACTATTATGCCTTCAAATAAGATCTCAAGCAAACTTTACCATACTGTTAGAAAAAGTTTGGAATAACCCAAATACATATAAGAAAGTATAGATTAAAAAAAGAGTAATGATTTTTATATTGTTTCGTCTGAAAATTTATGGCCTTACAAAGAAGCCTCTATGACCACAAATACAGTGAGTGCTAGTAGTGGAAATAGGAAGCAATAAAAAAAGCCAGAGGATCCAAAACAACAACTGTTGGGATATACTGTTATATTAGAAACCTTACCTTACAGAACATGTCTCGGAGATCATCTTTTGGGCTAATCCACGATGCAACAGCATCACAAAAAAATATAAAGTCCTATAAGATTAAACAATCACATAGGTTAGAAACCTCAATTTATAGGTCTGAAAACAATGCTTGATGTTCCTTCCATGAACTATGCAGGATCTTTGATACTAATTCACAACTGCTTTTGTTTTTATATATCTATTTTCCAGTCAATTCAGACAATAATGGTAAGTTATTGTATGCCTAAGTGTTCAGAAATAGAAATAGCTGAATGTACGAATACCTTTGTTTAACCAGGTTTTTGATTAAATAAAACCAGTTAACAAAAAACTAACTCTCCCCTCCCACATCACAGTTGTCTAACATTAATTCTTTCAGTACATATATCAAGTTCAAGAACCAATCAACTTAAAAACAAGGAACAAACTCAAGACCACAGTTGCAATTCTCTCTCGCATCTCCAGTTGGGGGAAAAAAACTGTTCTATTTCTTTAAGCAGAGCCAGTGTTTTTTTCTGGGACACACAAAATGTTTATCATACAGGTTCAAAACTAAAGCCACCCCAAAATCCCCATACTTAGTTCACCTGCTGTCACGCATTACCTGCTACTACACCATTAAAATACCAATATTTAATAATTAATTTGATAATGCCCATGTTTTTGGGTAGGAACTGAGGATAACAACTACAGAGGAGAGATGGCATAATGAAAGAATCCTTAATTATCCCCTCTCCTTAAGCTATGTGAAAGAACAAATGGACAGCTGAACAGGGAAACGCTAAGTACAGAATAATGCATAAGTGAAATGAACTGAAAATTTCAAAACAAAGTAGAGGCTCAATTCTTGTGTTTCAGGAAAAAGAATGCCAGGCAGAAGAGAGGGGAAAATTACCTTAATTTTCCTCTTAGAATACATTACATTGGTGCAGCTTTACTTTGGAGGTGTGGAGACTACATGCAAGTAATATTCTATTTTTCAGATGTACCATTTAAAGATATGCATGTTACTTGTCACATTGACTATTTAAGCAAATATGCAAAGTTGAAACAGAATCTTCCCTACCCAAGTTTTAAGAATGAAGAGGTGGTTACTGGTTTTGTTCTGTTTCTAGTTTTAAAAGCCTGGGTTACATCTGGAAAATAGCTTTAAGTATGTAAACGTTTTCCTTTTATTTTCATACAGATCCTGAACACAACGTGACAGAAGTATAAAAACACAGTTATTTTAATCAATGTTCATTATTTACATACTCTTTGTAAGTAAAAGACAAAAATTGAATTTAACAATACTCTTCTCCTTTCCTTTGCCGGGTCATAATTAACAGAAGCACCATGATACATATCATTATAACACTATAATGCAATAGAAACATTTTGTCCTCCTTCACCTCAAAATAAAGCTACATCATGTACTGTAGGGAATCACATCAAGCTAAACTTTTTCCTATTCCATATACAACTTGCAGTAAATGTCACATAACTAAAGAAAATAAGATCTATTCATGTATCTTACTTGGACTACTCCACTGGGGTTGACCGAGATCATGGTACATATCCCACGGAACGCTGAATCCTTTTCCTCGTTGTCTCTTATATTTCGTAGAGAGGTGCACCTAGCAAGTTGGAGAGCAAAACTTAGCTAACTCTATAACTTTTTCTTCAATCAAGTTAGAACTATATGACAGTATTTGATGGAATAAGTCACACTGATAAGATGATCAGAAACACTATTTTGAACACTTAGAAAAACACTTGTTGCACACAGTCTTTACTAGCATATTCCCATTAGGCATCATCTCCAGAATCTTGTTCTCCTGTTACACTATATACATTTAGAAAGGGTGACCTGTATTCCATTAAATACAAAGGAAACATGTATCTGAAATATTTATAGAAGCTATCATTATTAGAAGCGGAACATATAATACTATCACAGGATGAATTATGTCAGATACCACTTACAGAACAGTTATTTAACTTTTACAGCAGCAAGCAAGCTATTTTATACATAACAAGTCTATAAACATATATTCCTTACAGCAATTCAAGCCTCAGACTGAATTTTAAGTAAAGTAATGCACGGTTTAAATTTTATAGTATTTGCATGCATTGTATTATCATTCTGGTGGATTTTAAAATGCTCTTTCATAGTCAAGCTTTAACACAGCAAGCATGTGACAATCTTATCCCATGCATAAATTAGTCGTTAGCCACAACATAAAGAATACATGACGGTGCTACTAAAAACTCACAAACCTGATAGGACAAGATTAGTCACATGGTTGGCAATGATTAAGGATTGAGATTTTGTAACCAACTGAAAATATATCTAAAAGTGAGATAGAGAGAAGAAAGAAAGAAAGAGAGTGAAGAAAAATGAATTAAAAAAAAAGATTGAATAATACACACCAGGGTCTTATAAACTGCTGTAGCATGGGGGCCACCTCTTGAGGACAAACGTAACCAAGACGACCAATTGTTATTGCTAAGGTAACGCAATCACGGTTATACACCACCAAACGCCAACCAAGACATGAGCAAATGAGGGGGGAGGAGAAAAAATAAAGAAAAAACAACAAATAACTCAGAAACAGAAACCAACAGAATCTGTGTATGATAATAAACATAAGATTTCACCAGTGCTGTTTATTACCACCCCCTAAGTAAGAGGCAGCAACATATATGGTATACTCTCCAGGGTAAAAGAAAAATTAAAGAAGTAAATGAGAGAACACCAAAAACACAATTTAAAATCCAAATGTTTTCTGATGTAAGCAGTCATTCTACCCTCTTCAGAATAATCTCTTACAGTAAATTTACCTACCATGCATTTCAAAGTTTTTATTGAAATGTATCAATTATGGATTCCCTTGATAAAAAGGAATTAACCATGTTAAGTTTTTGTATCAAGTATTTTCAATCTTTTATTTTTTCCAACATTTATAATTCAAGATTCTTAATAGTTTTACTCCATTAGTAAAATACATTTATAAAAATACTTTTACTTGGAAAATATTGTGGTCTATCTAAAAATGCTAAATAGATGAAACACTTCTCAAAGAGCACCAAATATTTGTTGTCTTCATAACCTTGTAAGGAATTTAATTTAAACTGGTTGCTCACTCACAGCAACCGACTGCAGAAAATTAATTGTTTAATCCCAGTGTTTCTCCTGTTCACAAAAGGTTTCCTCACAAAAGTTGTATACAAGTCTGACTTCTGATATCAAGCCATAAGGACCCATGAAAAGCAAAACTGCTTCATCATATGATAAGGTAGTTTGGTCCTTTGTTCTAAGGAACAGACTGAAGAAAATATCATCACGCAAATGTGTTTTAATGGTGTTTGCTCAACTCACAAAAGATTAATCTTTAGAAAAAGGAGAGAGTGGGGAATAATGTACCAGGATTACTTGAAGCAAAATACATGAATAATACTAAAATCCAGCAGATTTATATGAAGCAGAGAAAGGAAACCTATGTTTAAGGGACATACTGTGCAACGCTCTAATTAACAGGCATTTGTGAACAGTTTCATGAAACATGCAATAAAGCAGATGATGCTTTCTCCAATACAAGTTTGGTGTAGGATATGCTAGCATTTTGAAACTTAGTCAATCCAGGAAAGCTGCAGCTCTCTGGTAATGTACTGTGTTGTCCTGCTGTTGCTCAATTTCAATATGCAGTGTCTAAAATTTTCATGAGATCTAATGTAAAAAACTGCATTTGAAGTATTTCTTTCCAATGAAAATACACTTTCAAGTTTTATCTGTAAGTTCTCATAGGTACAGTCTGTACAAGGAATAGCAATCTCTGTCAAAGCTTAACTTTTTGGCATGTACTAGTTATTTTCTTTGCAATTACTTTTACGTAAGGTGATCTCATGTTTCCACAGCAAAAGTGTTTTAATAAATCATTACATAGCAAACTAAAGCAGAAAACAGAAATATTCTTGCACATACTAGTGGCATGCAGCACAATATCCCACAACAAACTTTATAAGTACACCACACTCAACATTTATTTGCAGTTATGCATCCACATTTAAAGTAACTATCAAGAGAATGGAAAAAAAAAAAAAAAGCACTGTTTGGATGCTTCCAAAAATTCTCTAATAATGATGGAAGCAAACATTTAAGTACTGGATGCCTCTCAGTTACTGGTATTACACATCCATCAGTGCAGAGGAAGGGAGTCAGGGCAGGGGTGGAGGGAAAGAAAATTTATTTTGCTATACTATTTCATGGTATATTTCAAAACAACAAGTAGGTATTTTCTCCAAAATTGTCTTTTCAAGAAGTAGTACCTATAATATGCCAGATAACTAGGTAATTTTTCCTTCAAGTCCACCTTCCATACTAAACACTGGCAAGGGGAGGGGGGCAGAGAAAGTTCAGGTTTTAAGTTTAGAGAATACCAGAGGAAAAATATGCATTGAACAACTCTCTCCAATTTATCTCTTGCTTAGCTTAGAAAATATAACTGTAGCACCGAATTTGTGTAATTTTCAGTCATGTCAGGTATAGTGACTAAACTGTCACTTTCTTACAAGACAGTTTTCAAACAGTTTTGCTGAAGTATGGAAGGTGCTCTTCATACCAGAACGTGCCCTCTATAAATGCAAAAGAAACAAGCCTCAGAAATTCTGTTTCAGTATGGCATTTTGGGATTGTTCCTGATTTGGAAGGCAAAGCTGTGGGCCAGAACATAAAACATGCATGCCATTATTACAGTTCTTTTAAGAAATTTGTTATTAAGTGATCAAGAAATAGAAGTTACATGTAATATCAGTTATGTTGTGGCAAAACTGCCATCACAGATCTAGATTTTTGTGCATTATATTACCCGTTTATCTTTAAAAAGAGTGTATTTTTTCTAAATACAAAGAGTTCATTATTTTGTTTTATATATGCCAATTACATTTGTTTCAAATGCTAGACATATATATACAGTACACGTGTAAGGACATGCAGTGTGAGCTAAGTCTTTAAAGTGTAACTGCATACATCTGTCATATTCAAAACATAAATAAAACTGGAAGAATACTTAAACAGATGATAATAATATAATAAATGTCCTAAAAGTGAGAAAGAAATAAATTTAAGAATCTAGATACATGATAGATGGTTTGCTGCAAGACTGAGACTTGTAAGAGCTTCTGCAAAACAGAGTTGCTTTTGCTTATAAAAACCAAAAACATAGCAATAAAATAAGTTCTGGTGTGGTTCCTCTACAAATTTTTTTTAATCATTATAAAAAGTCTCTAATTCCCTTCACTGTGTATGGTTCAGTTTTTGGGTACCTGTGTTCTCTAACAATGTCTTTGGTGTGTTCGGTCTGTTAATTATTTCTACAAGCTGGTGCAACACCATTGGAATATAAGGCTGCATCTCTATACCTGAAACAGCAAAAAAAAAAAAAAAAAAAAATCAGAATAAAATGTCCATTAATACAGCTACACTGAACTTACTAGCAAGTACAAGAACCTCAAATTTTATTTAAATTTTAACATGAAAGTATCACTGAAAAAAAAAAAACCCAACCAAAAATACCCCAGAGAAACCATGCTAAATATGTAGAGATTCAAAGAAAAAAAGAAGTCTTACCCATCTGGATGGAGATTTCTCCAATTGCCCACGTGGCATTGTTACAGACAGAAATGAATTCAGGGTTTAGGTTGGTTCCCAAAATGGGCATGAAATCAGCTAGAAAGAACAACATTTTAAGATCTCATCACACAGTACAACCGTCTTGTCCCATTACTGTAAGATTGGGGCGGGGGGGGAAGTCGCTTTAAACAAAACTCATGTAAGCCTATTTAAATGCTTGGAAAGTGTTACATATGAATTAACAAGAGCTATGTTTCTGCTATGTATCAGACTAACCTCGATTTTAGAACCTAAGCAGATCAATGCAAATCTTTTCAAATTATGATTTGAAAATGTTTCTAATAGGCTTTAACTCTAGAAACCTTTTTTCTCCCCATTCCTTGCTGGGGTGGGGGAAGAGAAGAGAAGAGAGGAGAAGAAAAAAACAGCTAAAAGTACTTGTAGTTTTATAATATAGTTGCACAACCCTCAAATCATCTGGATGGCTATGTATTCAGCTATGCTTGAAAAAACAATGTGGCCTAGAAGGCAACTGCATCTTTGATTAAATTTTAAGAAAAAATTAGTCACAAAGATAGATTATAAAATCTGATAAATAATTTTTAAATTCCAAGTCTATCCAAGCATTCATTTGGCAAGTTAAGTGTGTCTCAAGAGTATTTGTGGGAAGAAACAGCAAATACAATAAAAGTGTGTAAGTGATGCTACTTCCATACTGAAATTAGAAACAAAGCAAAAAAACAAACCAAAACCTACCCTCTAGCCAAGTTTTCAAATTTCAATACACATATATAAAATTTTATGTAACAATAGATTCTAGTAGAAGAAAAAACCCCTATAAATGCAAGAATTTATCAAAGCAAACAACTAGCTTGCTACATTATAAAAATCAAGGACAAAAATTAATTTTTGCACTGGCTACAAAAGTAAGGACATGTCTTTTAAAGACAAAATTCAAAGCAGAAAAGACTACAGACCCTTGCTGATAAAGGAAAACGAAAACTTACAACACCATGAAAATGAACCCACAAAACAGGGAGTTTAACAATGGCTAAACCAGCCTCTTATCACTTTGTAAAACAAGTTGTTTAATATGTAAAAGAAACATACCGATGCAAGGCTTAACATGCTGGAAGCACGCCTTTGTCAGATCACCTAACAAGGCAAAAGAACTCTGCCGTACCTCAGGCATTTTATCCTAAAGAGAGGAAGAAGAAAACGACAATTCTAGAAGTGTTTCTGATTATCTTAAGAAAGAAAATCCTTGGATCAAACAGGTTACACAACTCACCTGCATGCACTGGTACATTAGTGTCAGGATATTGCTGCGAGCCACTAGCTGTTCAATGTTGCCTCCAAGTCCTTCAGCTAAACCACTGAGTAAATCAAGGGCCACAATCATGAAGTCTTTATCTGGAGCCTCATATTGGTCTGGCTGAGCATTATGCAACTGCAACAAATAAGCACACATTTTCAAAATGAGTACTAGATTTTTTCAGGTGTATGCACAAAAAAAAAGTTTCTGAACTGCAGCTTTACTTAGATATTCAGTGGTTATACTACAAATCTCCCTGCAAACCCTTAACTTTACACAGTTAGTACATCGGTTTAACATTGGGACAGCAACAGAAAATACCATGGCTTGTGCAAGGGTCTTCTGCACCAGATTTACACAACGCTGGTACACAGGTTCACAGTATGGAAGAAAGCCAGACTGCAAGGCAGTAGCAACTGACGACAGGCACTGGAATGAAGAAAAGAAAGAGATAAAACAGTCACCACCTTTCCTCATATCCCTGAAGTCCCTTTTACTTGCGAGAGGTAATTTAAAAGATAGTAACATTTTAAGTATGCCCACATGTAACTGGTTAAGTAAACACAGCCTAGAAAGGCAGTAGCAATTAGCTGAGCCAAGGCAACTATTAGCAAGTAATCTCTCTCTATGTACCCCAGTTGAGAAAATTTCTCAGCAGCATCTTCTTAGAGGCAGCCAAGAAAGTGCATACAAAACCAGTTACAATAATTCAGCCAGCACTTACACTAGGCTTCAGTATCTTAACCATGTACCAGCCTAACATTACCTAAGAGTTATAGAACTAATTTTTTTTACAAGTGTTTCCCTGCTTCACACTTGGGAAGTACAGAGAATAGACTACATGGTCTGGTTCATTCCTTCAGCTTGACTGACAGTAGTTTTAATGGAGGGATGAAGAGAGAGAAAGGAGAGAGAAGACAAGAACAAATGAGGGATGGAACATTTCTCTTTTTCTCTAAAGGGATCCCATCAAAGAAAACACTCCAGAATGGCAGAAAAACAATCTAAAAGATTTCTGTTAAACCTGATGACATTTACTCAGTAACAAAGCTTTCCTACTACAGTCAGAATATTTTGGAAATAATGGGGAATACCAAACACTGTCAGCTTTTGTAGTCATACTTCCTAGAAGTAGCACCTTTAGTAGACAGTGTAATTCCTAAACTAAGTTGATAAAAAATTCTCAAATTTTAACATTTACCTCTAATAAAGGGAAGAGATCTTTATCTTCATCTTTCAACATGTTCCACTTCTGGATTAATGGAGGCATTAGCATCTGAATATATTCCTGTTTAGAACGAAAACGTATCAGCTGTGGAAACACTTCACTGCACGCTATTTTATTTCAAAGCTAGAAAACCGATACAATAAGAACTGATGTATATTCTAGTTTTTCAGCCAAAAAAACCCTGATGTGGTACATTCAATAATTGTTGCAATACATAGAATTAGCTTAATATTAGAATTTACAATTTGTGCCCTAAGATTTTTTGCTGAAGCACATAAGTACCTTTGCAGAGTGAATGTTTTCCTCCAGGTTTGATTTAATTCTAGCTGCCTGAGTGGTTACTAATCTATATGATTGTCTCAGGGCCTATAGAAAATACTTTTACTAGCAATGCAATCTGTCTGTGCATCTGCCACACGCTTTTCTCAAGCATTTCCCATTGCTCTGATGCTACAACCCTATCCCCCTAAGTTCCTGAAAACTTCTTCCTCAAGCAACCAACTATCCATTAAGAAATTCCCTATCCCTCCAGAAGGTTGCACTTACTCCTTGTGTATAAAGCTGTTGCATCTGCCCTGCCACTGCACAGCCACAGTCACAAGGATTGAGCAAGGCATCCCTATAGTGCTGTTGCTCCCAGAAGGTATCTAAGGAGCCAACAGAAGCTGCCAGCTAATGCTTTGCACAAAGACAGAAAATTCTGACCGAAGAAAGTTCCACAATCACCAGGAACTCTCGTTTAGCTTCCTCCTGGTGCTGTCAAATGTCAATGTGGCCAGGGCCAGAGAGAGACTGAAAAAGAGGTCCTTTGATGGTGTGGGGCCTCAGATAGGAAGTAAAATGCCATGGAAACACCTTAAATTGTTTTATTCTAGTGTATCTATGTAATGTGAAGCACCATAGAGAAATAAAAACAAATTTTAATAACCATGATAAGAAGATGCACACATGTGACATGTATACACATTCTATTAATTAATATATGTACACTAAAAAAAATCCCCACTAAATTTGCATTTGTGTTATCTGTGCTTTGTCCAATGGATTCTGATTTTTTATATATAAAATGCCTGTCTCATTCTCTGACAAAGGAATTTCTAGTGATGAAGTACGTTGGAAAGAGACACACAGCGCAGCTTAGCTATACTGAAAGTGGTTACAAAAAAAGGTGTGGTTATTAGAAATTAAAACACACATTCCATCAATTTCTCTAAAGTCTTAATTCCTATCTATATTGATGTATCTCCACTGACCTGAAAAGTTCTGAGCATGAGGAAAAAAAATCACAAAGAGAAACACATTTCACAAGCCACCACACAAATATTTGTCCAAAATGGCAAATATTTGTGTAGTAGGAAAATTATATCCGGTCTATGTATGTATCTGTAAATATTTAGTATTATCAAAACCTATATAGAAATATCAGCATTTGTGTTTTATAACATGTAAAGTACACCACAAAAAACACAGAACTAGTTTTTCATTTATGATGAGTGCTTCTACAGAACATAAGGGTATACTCACTGGTTTATTTAGATGATGTCCCACTGAATCTGCTAGAGTTCCTATAGCATCATAAAGAATGAGCAGGTTTTTATGCTGGTATTTACTAAATGCGAAGACCAAAGTGTCAAGTATATATGCAAGATAAGGAACAAGCTCTGTACAAGCCTCCTCTTCTAGAGTAGCAAAGGCACTGAGGGATAGAAAAACAGGTCAGTTATTATCTTGGAAAAAACAAAACAAGACGACCTCAAAATGCCCCACGCTACTCATTTCTGTTTAAACATAAAACTGTATTTAGCCCTCAAATTCATCCAAGATATGTTTTCAAAATGGTATTACTGAGGTAACTTTGATCTGTTTTGATTGAACACGTAAGGATTCAGCTCTTACATTGTGACGAATAAAATTTAAAAAACATTGCTGTAAACCCCGTTATGTATACCAGGAAGCCCCCACCAAGAAAAGCATTACTGTACACAAGTTACAATATACTAACTCGAATAGTAGAAAACATAATAAAAGCTGTTTACTTAAGTTAAAAATGACCCACTATCTTCAGTGTATGCTGTAGCTGCACCTAGAAGCCCCAGTTCTGTTGAGCCAGTACAATGCCAACATCAGCCTGTACTCTCAGCAGTTCACTACACAGAAAACCAGATACAGAAAGACATGGAAAACTAAAAGCAAAGACAGAGCATGAACAGTTTAAGCCAGCCTTGGTCAAAGCACACATCATGGCATCATGCAAACTTCTCAGGTTGCCTGTCAAGTGTTTGAACAACAGCATTAAAAAACCCACCCAAAGCAAACAAAACACCCTGAAAACCAGACACACTGCTTCAGACAAACATTAAATAAAGGGAAAAAAAATGAGCTACTGAAGATTTACTGACCTAGCTTGGGTCAATGAGATTATTATTAGCCCGTCCCTGCACTAAGAATGCATGTATCACTGCATGAAGTGAACAATTCCATACTAGCATGCTACCAAATACAGAAATGCCTTTTTCTTAACACAATGCAATTGTGAACACTAAGTGGCTAGCATTCTTATTTTATTTATTTATTTTATTATATTATTATGAAGTATTCTTTCAAAAATCTGTCCGTTGCCCTTCCTTCATAGGCATCACATAAGGTTAAGAATTGCAACACAGCTGTGTTCAACTGCACACACATTTCAGCCATGTTTTGGACAAGGAAAGTATGAACAGAAGTGTGGGGGTTTTGTTTGTTGGTTTTGGCTTTTTTTTTTAATGAGTCTGTACATAATCTAATTCCTTGAATCTGAAAATGTGTGAAGCCAGTAGTCTCATATCACCATTTTTCTGCCCATTCAGGAAAGAACAGAAGACTGTCACTATGAAGAGACAGAACAGAGCAGACGTTAAAGCCCAACAAATTTGCTAGCCCAATGTCTGAGAACATTTACAGACAAAAACAAAACAGTGTTTAATACTCAAATCTTACTAAGTACATTTAATTAAATTCATTGTATTTTCAGGCAAGAATACATCTACCCCTTTTGTGTAAAGCTTAGCACAAGAACTCTGACCTCGCCCTCGTCCTTAGGCACTACTGATATTTGGGGCTGGGGTGTAATACCAATAACAATATTGCATGTTTCAAGTGTCAAGAATACAACTAGATACAGATCTAACTTTGCTTTATGAAGAAACCTTGGCTGTCTGCTGTGCAGACTCCTGCCTCACACAAACTGACATGTAATTTTTATTTGATGAGCTTCTTACACAAGAGGTGCACCTATTGTCCTTCTGTTTACGGTGTGTCTATTACTGGAGACAGTAATGGTTTGGTTTTTTCGTTTTGGCTTGGTTTGGTTTGGTTTTTTGTTAGGGTTTGGGTTTTTTTTTTTTTGGTTTTGGTTTTTTTTTTAAATATGAGCAGACAAGGCAGAGAAGGGAATCATATCTCCTAAGATTTCCCTTGAAGAGAAAGAAAATATCCCTTGAAATAATCATAACACAAATGTTTTGGTAATCCTGAGCTAAATATAAATAACATCAGCAAATCAATGATAGGATAGTTTTCCATTGTAATCAGTATTGACCTTGTTCATAAGCATATTAAAAAAAAGCCAGATTTCTGGTCAATGAATCATATTGATAATAAGTGTCATAAAAAGAGAATTTATTTTACTACAATAAATTATTTAATTTGGTGATTCATATACTCTGAAAACAAAAACTGGACAAGAGACACACAAATTAGCTTTTTTCATGTTATTTCAACTTGGAGAAATTTGTGACTACTCCAGAAGAAGCTGTATCTACTCCAATTTAAAAGAGAAAGAAATACATTAAGAGCTAGAAATGGAGTCATGCATTCATTGATAAAGGCATTAGAACAGTTTCCCATGAAAAAGCAGTGCCACGGATACTGCTTTTTGCTTAAGCTTTGGCTTACCTGCAGGCGGCTTCTTGTACTCTCTTGTTGCTATCTAGGATACGCTTTAGCAACTCAGTCATTAATGGCTTCAAGTATGTGTCTGGGGGTTGACTAACTACCCAGTGTGCATAGCGACTAAGAGTCCAGCATGTAATGGAGCGCACAAGAGCCTTTTTGTCAGAGAGGCACTGAATAAGGTGAGGGATCAGCTCAGGAAGATATGGAATCATACCCTGCATGCAGCCTAAAAGGAAAAATATAACTATTACAGTACCAGAATTAACAGAAAGTTGTATTGTTTTCTATTTCCTAGAAGGGACATATTTGCATTCTCTATCACATGGGAATACATTTTAACAACATACAAAGCAAGTCTGCCTAATTTATATTAAATCCTAAAAAAACCCCAAACCTTACATCAACAATAATTGAAATCCCCAATTAAACTTAGATTAATTTCAACTACATTTATACTTTAGTGCTTCCCCAATCTCCAGAAAGCCTGCTTTATTAAATGGAGTAGGGCAAGTACATTAAAATAAAATGAGTTTATAAAGCTTGGAGGTCCTATGGCAGTCTACTCACAGTAACCAAGACAACAAGTAGAGAGAGACTTGGTCTTGACGACAAATCATCACATCATTAAAAAGGATCCCTTAAGAAATTTACATTTCTTCTTCTTTTCTCCTAATATTATACAAATACTGATCAACAATAAAAGTTACACATTTCAAGTCAGCAAGGGCAGTAATACACTGAGATTTGCCAGAAGTACTGACTTTTTACCTTGCTTGATTTGAAATCAAAAGCCAACAAAAAAGTTTTCCAGTAACAAAGAAAACAGTATGTTCACTAGGCACTGTGGGAAGAGAAAGATAATCCAGTCACGGACCCAAATGTATTCCTTCAGCTTGCAAAAGGGACAGAGACACTGGAAATGGAAGCAGAAAGCTAAGCAAGCCTGTGAGTAAGTACAAAGAAACTGAAGTTATCATATGTAAGCTGGTGAATCATCCACAAATAGCACCTCAGGGTATTGAAGTCACACGAGTGGTCTTTTCCATTTCTGAAAACACTTAAATGAAATGTAAGGCTCCAATTTATTCAATATACCTCTTCTATTAAATCGAGGTAGTGTGTTTCATGAGACACCAATAAACATATGCTGAAGAGTTAAGAAAGGCAGAAATAGAAGAAATTATCTAAGTTATTGAGCCTCCCAAATATGCATAGATTTGAAAATGAAAAATCAAGTAACTGCATTCCCCAATTAGTAGTTCTAGAGATTAATCACCAAAACCAAACCAGCTAAGGATGTATACTTGTTTGCATAAGTAAACTCACCTGGAAGGAATCACAGAGCTGCTTTAGAACCAACCAAAATTCAACAACCTGATATGCACTGTTGCCTTACCTTCTGCAATAGCTCCAAGAACAAGGATACCAGATTCTTTAACTACCCATTCGGGATGGAAGAGCAATTCCTTCAAAAGGGGCAAGATGTGTGGCAGAAGTTCATCACGAAATACATTGGCTAGGACATCTAGAGCAGCAGCAGAACATTTCCCTGAGAGGAATTAACAGTGTTAATCTCTGCTTATTATACAAGTAGTTGTAGCTAGGCAATATAATCAGCATTTTAACTTTGAGCTACCAGTGGAGTCTCAGGGCATTAGGGGGAAAGATACTTCCATTTCATTACAGTACAGTGATCCACTGTGCTCTGGTACAAAGCCACAGCTCTTAGAAAGCCAGTTTTGCAGCAGTTAAATAGCTACTAAAAGGGCTATACATTGGGGATATTAGAACACCCACTGACAGGAACCACACTATTACACTGCAACATTATAATACACTACATGATTTCACGGTGGCTAACACTATAGGAAGAGGGCAGGTCTGTGACACAAATGTAACATATTGGAGAAACGAAGAAGGAGAAATGAATGGCCTAGAGCTCAAACATGATCCATGTCTCAAAGCAAAAAAAGGCAAAATTATACAGCTCTAGAGACTGAAAGGAATTTACTTGCCTCTGCTCTGAGCTTTCATACCTTACTCCTATTCTGTGACGCACCAATATAAAGAGGAACACCTCAAAATTAGTTTGAAAGTTTTAATCCCATATTTTTAGCAAACAAAAGCTCATTAAAAAATCAGATACAACCGCAAAACATGATTGAGAAATCCTTGCTCTGCTTTTCTGCTGTGGTGTTGTCATGTTTAGAACAAATAACACCAACATGGCTTTATAAAGAATGCTCGTATTACAGAACTTATACTGCACTTTTTGCTTATCATGATTTCAGTTCCTTCTTAATCTGTCATAAAAGATCCAACTGGTCTCATTAGTAAGCAATGCTGCTAATTGTCAGGCTGCGCTGATGCTACCTACCGCTATGTTCAAACTGGAAGTCAAATATAGAAGACTGGATATGATACATGGCACACAATTCTGATTTTCAAGTAATTCTCTCAAATCCAGATGACATATGTCAATACAGATTACTTAAATGTTCTGCTCTTTCTTTCAGGCCACAATTGCTGGAAAACTTTAGCTTCCTCACCAACTTAATCTAAACTGTGGACCACAGGTCACCCTCAGTCATTGCAGCTATCTTTTTCAGAAAATCTGTACTTAGTTCTCTAATCTCTACACACAGAGTGACAAGAACAGCATTATGAATCTAAACGATACTTTTTTTTTAAAAGGTTTTAACAAAACAAGCATATTTGCGCCCATATTTTCTAATAATTTAAAAAATTAATGTCTCAAAATTGTCTGACCATAAGCTTCAAGGTACATTGACCTTTCATGAAAACTCAGGGCCTTGTAAGAAAAAAATTTTAGGTGGATGCATCTGAATCTCAACAGATTGTTCACCTATGAGGCTGCTTGCCAAGTATATTTAAGTCAGATTTCTCAAAATTTCACAAGCTATTTTCTATCACTGAGCTTAAAAATCAGTTTGTGGGATTTTCTTTCCTTACCACACAGACTACTTGCCAAAAGGTCCTATGACCCATACACAGGCCATCAGAACTGTGGTTTCTCCACAGCCATCTCCTCCCTTCATAACTGAGGTACTACATTCTGGTCAGAAGCAAATTCCTCACACACAAAAGAACTACCGGTAATGGCTTGTCTGTAGTAGCCCATTTACATGGGGGAAAAAAAAAAAGCCAAAATGAAACATACAAACCAATTTTAGAGGGAAGAATGAAGTAAAAGAAAGCATTAAGCTTCCTCCAGCTATCAATGTGAAAGAGCTTTTTTGTTTTAAACTGAAGTTAACAGGTGACACATTATTTGTATTATCTTGTAGAATTAAAATTCTAAGTCCAAAAGTTCTGCTGAATTGCACTCAGTAAATGTTTGTAGCTCAATCTGCCATATTCAAAATAAGCTTACAGATGTCTAGCTTTGGCCAATGCAGTTACATAGGCAGTGTCACGTGAAAGACTCCACTCTCCACCCCATCCACCAATTACATCAGCAGACACTTCTTTTTGTATTCAAAAGCAAAGCCTCAGTATTCCTATGCACAAAGTCCTCTTTTTACGGTGGTTCTTATATTACGCAAGTAGCTCTGTTTTAAAACATTTTATACATTACTTTGACATACTTAAATTCCAGTCAGAAATAGTATCATCATCATCAAGTTCATCATCGTCTTCATCATCATCTTCAATACCATCTTCTTCATGTTGCTGAGCCACTGTCCGTGAACGATGAAAACGAGGTCTTATGTCCTGTTCACTATCTGGAATAGCTTCATCTTCTTCAACATCCCCCTGTCATCAAAATGTTTTATCAGATAAACTAGTCCAACTATATTGCTCAAGGAAGTTAAGAATGTAGTTTTAGTTAAAGACTTTAGAAGCATATAGAAGATTCACATCCCACTTGTGCTGCCCAGCTAACTAAAAGTGACGTTGTTCCTCCATTCTGCTGCCACATTTACCAGAAAAATGACAAGAAGACAGCAGCAAGAGGTAAGCTCGCGCACAAAGTATCCTTCTTGTTAGGAAACTACTCTTGATGGGATGAAATAGAAAGAAGTAGTGATAGAGAAATTCTGGTAGAGAGACATATTCTAAAATGCAGTGATGCAAAAAGCCATGTATTCAAACTAGAAGGCATTAGAACTAATTCTGAACATTTTTTTTAGGGTGCATTCTTGCAGTACTTCATTGGTAATACTGTCCCAGCTCTGCCTAAGCTGGGTGCCATGGACACAGGCAAAGAAGGAAAGCCCGCATATTATTTTCCAACAAACATGGCAGCAATTGCATTTAGTATTTGAAACAGCACATCTTGCCCTGGAAAGCTAATTCTCCATTGCACCAGACCTGGTAGACCAGATCTGCCCATTTTGATCTGAATCATTCTGATATATAGGTAGGAAGCTAACCAGATATTCTTACAGAGTAAAAGAAACCAATGCTCACCTTCAACAGAATAATATCGATCTCTGAATATTTCATACCATTTACAAGCACAGGTATCAGCCTACAAAGAAATATTGATACATGTCAAAATAAAACATAAAAAAAGCAAACCAGTGTTCAGTGTTCAGTTACCTGGGCCATAATTTTGGTTGTAACCCTCACCCCTTCAACCTGAAAAAAACCAGCCCCGTAGCCTGATAACAAAAGCTAGTACCTAAACCAAGCTCCATTTCATAATATTCATCAATACTTTGTAATCTGAAAAAGTGTTAATTTCAAATTACAAACTTTTAACTAGAGGTAGCCAGATGGCACCACTGAGTTTTAAATTTTAAAAAACAGATGTTCTTCCATACGATTAATTTAATATCTGAAAGGTGCTTCAGAATAAGTCTAAAGGTTTTCAGTAAGAATTCAAACTCCCATAATATGCATTGTAAACAAGTACTAAGTTGGCTCTCACCGATAGTACTTGTCACTTTTTTTACTTGAGGCTGAAGACTCTATCTCATTACTCTTAGAGATGGAAGCCTAACTACATTAAGCTCTCCTATCCTTTCAGCAAAACAAGTCCCCAACATCGAAGAGATCTTGACAAATCTTTATTAGGATTTACTTCACTATTAAATACTCCAACTGTACAGATGTAAAGCTAAAAAAAGTACTGGGGGGAAAAAAGGCAAATACTTCTCATAAAAACACATTGTTCACAAAAAAAAAAAATCCATAAAAATACGTATTACAAGCCAAATCAGGCTAATAATGAAAGCACCATGGACTGACCCAGCTCCAGTGACAGAATCAATCTCTCTGTACTCTGCAGGTGAGGACTACTGCTTTTGAAGGTACGAGGCCAGCAATAATATTCACACATTGCTATGGCACATTACCTTCTGAACTTTGAATGAAGGAATAGTAAGTATTCACAATATCACCAATTCATTGGCATTTCTGCTGCATACTTCATGTAGTATGCAGGAGCTATGTATTTTATAAGAAAGCCTACAGGAGCAAAACGGAACAAGATGTCAGATACCACATGAACATGTTTTTAGAAGATCTTGTCCCACTTTCACTTTAATATAAAAAATTTTAAGATTATCATCAAGTATTGACAAACTTGAATAGCTCCCTAGTCAAACAGGACCCACTAACAAAGTTGCTCTCAACAAACATGACATTGAAGGATAATGAGAGAAATGTAATGCTATTATTATTTGTTTGTTTTTCTAGAAATTTAAGATATTTTTCAAAAATAAATTTTTTAAAAAAGTATGATGCTGTTGCAGTGTCAATGTTCATGTAACCCAAAGAGGTTTCATACTAGTAATTATTAACTAGCAGTTAATAACTACTGTTATTCTCAGTATAAACATGATGTGTGCTGGGAAGGGGATGGGTAGACTCAAGAATTGTGCTATCATTCTTTTGTCTTTTGAGCTACAAGAGTGGGAATTAAATAAAACCATTTTAAAACTTAAAAATTATTTCTCATAACATTGATTCTCCTGTTTTCAATTCCTATTCCTCCACTGCTACAGTGGGTGTTTTAGTCTCAATTCTCTACTTTCTAATTGCTTAAGAAAACTGAAATTTTGCTGATGTTTAAAAATTGCTTCACATCTATAATGCTTATTTTTCCCGAGAAGAATGTGTCTTTCATCTGTGATTCTCTTCCACTCAATATCTTCAGAGAACTGCCCTAGTAATTTCAAAAACCTTCCATGCATATGTAAAAACAAAGAGTATCTACTGCGAACACTGAAAAATTCCTTTCCCATTGCAAAGACTTCAGATTAGTCTGTAAAAAGTTACAAGCACTGTTGCAGACATGCAGATGTTTACATCTGATATCCATTGCCATTCAAACACCTTCCTGAAACTTAGCAAAAAAAGTTTTTGAAACTTAAACTACTATCAGGCTGCAGAAGATTTTACATGCTTTCTTCAAGTTTAAATTACAATAACAATTGATATAAAATTGACTCCTAAATCCAAGCGATGTCATGCTATTTTGTTATGTTCTTTATAAGACAGGGAACCCTCTGCATGACTATGCACACAGAACCATCGCACAGAGATGCCTACATCAGCAGTAATCAACACAACAGATTCATGGTACACCAAATATTACAGGTACTGTCATATGGAGATGTTTGTTTGAGCTTAACTGCACTTTAGTAAATCTTTGCATTGATCTGAAGCTTAAAATCCTGTTAAGCTTGAGGTAAAGCATCACAATGACACAGCTTAGGTTGCTTCTAAAGGTCACGGCCTGAAATTCTCAGAAGTCTCTTCAATGAACTCTGTACTACAACCATTTTTACTATGCACAACAACTAGCTACAGGAAAATTCTTCTAAGCATTCTGCAAGCTAGATACAGTTGCTATAAAAGTAACGAGGAACAAGTCAACTGAAGTTTAAAGATGACTACTTCAAAATAAATAGGAACTGTAACTCTTAATACTTACTTAGTAAGATGCCGACATAATACATCTTTACAAATTGGCTGTTCAGCCAAAGTCAGCCAAAACTCACAAGCCTCCAAAGCCACATTTTCATCTTGGTCTTGGGTCCTTTGAAGCATGTACTAAACAATACAAAAATAATGACTTTTATAAGATGGAAGTTTTAAGTGTACAGAAGAAGCTACCAACATTGCAAAGTGTGTTAACAAATCCAGACTATGCTACCGCAGCAATTTTATTTCTTTGGGATGAGGGGGAGAAACAGACGTAACAGAATACTTAAGGCTATAAAGAGAATACGCTAAGACACTTCTTTCTTAATGCTAGATGATTTAAATTCTAAATTTCTTCATTGCTTAAGTGAGAACATTATTACCAAGAAACTGCAGAGACCCAAAATAATAAACGGCAGTTTCCTGTGAATTGTTTTTGTGGGGTTTTTTTACTGTTTTTTTTTTTTTTTTTTGGGGGGGGGGGGGGGTGGGGTGGGGGTTTGTTTTGTTTTGAATTTTTTACTCCCTCTTTGCACTTTTGGATAAAAACTTAACAACTAAACCCTTAATAAGATGGAAATATTTTTTATTTCCAGTACCATAAAAAAGCTTCCTTTCCAAATCTTGATTACCCGACAAGAAAGTAGAACTCATAACAGGGAAAAAAACTCTCACATTTTTCTAGCATGAAAGGTAATTCAGAGATTCAGTATCAAACCTTTAACCTTTCTACTAAAATTTAATCTTCCTTCAACCAAAAATAACCAAATACCTGCACAAACAAAAAGCCTAAGGAGACTACTGCTATATCAGTTTCTTATACACAAATGCCAAAACAATTTAGAGAAGACTCTTGCAACTTCCAAAATAGTAATTTCTGCATTCTTCCATGCCAGCCCTTATTTCTGAAACAGTTGTTTCTTCCATTCATTTTAGAAACCCTCATGGAAGTCCACGCAGCTACCTTTCCTCATACAGGGATTTATAGCAATAGAAATCCCTGTGCAGTTGCTTCAGAATACCATTTTATTCTCAAAATTAAATAGAATGAGGAGACCTTTATTATCCTGACGCATTTCAGCAATGCAAGACTTGCCATGAATGCACCTCTTCCTATAGAACTGCACCAAATCACAAGCTTTTCCTAAGGGAAAGCTTCTTAATCACAGAACTCACAGTAACAGAAATACTGCTCTATTCTGAGTTGTCAACAGATTGCAGCCCGGAAAAGTTGAAACATGTCCTACTCATTGGAAGCAAGGCTTCCCTAATGCACCTTAAATTAAGAGATTTGGGATTTTTCCCCAGAGGGCTTGAAAATCCACTAGTGTGTTGTGGATGTGTTATTTGTCAGGAAGACAAAAACAGAATAACAAGAAGTAATCTGTTTCAAAATGCCTCTCACACTGTCATGTCCTCTTTAAGTATCTAAGTATTATACAATATGCTCCATGAAGTCAGATAGCAGTAGATTGAAAAGGCTACTTACACTCAGTGGTGTAAGACAGCCATATACACAGCCTGGAAATCATAGCAAGAACAGTGAACCTACTAACAAACCAAAACGCAGGAAGGGTATTTGAAGGCTTTTGTTTTATTTAATATTATCATGTACTTTTAATGATAAACTATCAAGTTCTACTGACTTTAGAAATGTTGCTTCATCATAATAATTTACAAAATAGCATAGGAAGAGTATCCAGTACACTTTTGTATATTCTGTAACACAAACAATGTTGTTTTCGGTTTTTTAAGCCAAACCATCAAGAATAGTGGGATACACAAAGTACTAAGAAGAACACATCCTTTGGGCAGTAACAGACATGTCTTTATGTGAAGAAAGCAACAGGATGCAAACGTCAGGATTTCTACTGAGAAAGATCTTAGGAGCCATGTGTTTGGATGAATATGCTCTGTGAGCATAAAAGTGCAATCTAAAACTGCAATGTTACATTAGTCTACCCCTGACATATCCTGTTATCAAGTTCAGACAGAAGTTTCTCAGACAAAAAAACCCCCAAAACATCTGTTTCTCCTCATCTAGAAGTGCATGGTCAAAAAACCAATGAAATCCAAACTCAGCCATTCCTACATGCTCCAGGGATTTGGCAAGAAAGTTAAAACTAAACCAGTCTGCTTCAAAAGTGTGATGCCCACGAAGACCTTCACAGAATCACTACTGGATCATTAATATTCTTAACTACTTCAAAAGTGATTCTCCATAAGCATAAAGAACATAATATAAATACAAGTTTCTCTCTTTTAAGACTTTCTTCACTTAGAGCAGACAGCAGTAGCAGCATTCAACTTGGAGGCATTAAAGCCTCAGAGGTGCAAAAGCTAACTCATTTGAATACTGAACAACAATATTTTCTGGGATATTATATTTGCATGCACCAGGATGTATACAGAACTGGGGAAATCAGAACAGTGCACAGCAGATCCAAAACTGGAAAAAAAAAAGTCTAAACTTTCTGTTCCAGAACATAAAATCACTATCATGTAGAGAGGAAGGCTAGTAATGTTTTCCAACGGCAAAATACCAGACACAATGAGAATACAATCTTGGATCTTTTTCTGTTTGGTTACATCATTTCTACCCACAAAATCCAGAAGTTCCTTAATGATGTTAGAAGGATATTGACAACATCATCTCCAAAACTTTATTCTGTCACAAAAAAAAACAAAAAACAAAAAACAAAAAACTCAACCAACTAAACAACCCTCCCCAGTCCCCCAGGTACCAACAATCCTTGCTTGTCCTATGTTACTGACATCATCTACCTGGACTTGTGCAA